TCCATCCTTACAAGTTACAACCTTACCATATCTTCCATATTCTCTTAATATATTCTAATTTCAAAATTTTATTACAATAGCCATTCAATAACTACTTCAAGGTTAAAAGAAAGGTAGATTATTAAAAAAAAGTCTAATGAAAAACCCTTCTATGGAAACAGACTTTCTCGAAACAGCAACAACTAACATGGACAGACAATTTAAAGCTAAAAGATATGAGCATTACATTGGCAAAGAGGAAAAAGATAAGAGAGATATTCTAGATGGTGACCTCCTGATGGTGGAATTTATTTCTTTTTTTTTATTTTCCATGACGACCCTATGTATCTAACACAATTTTGTGACCTTATACAGCATAATTTGCTAAGATTCTATTAAACAATTAATATTTTTAAGGAGATTCTAGATTGTAGTCTCTGGTTTTGCAAAATTCAATATTCATGATGGTGGAATTTTTATTTTATTTGATAAAAACATCTCATCATCGATAGCAAGAAATGAATGTGGTATATAGTGTTGCCAACAAAGTTCAGTCAACAAAGACTTCAAAACCTACTCACCTTCTTCTGCAACAATTTTTTCCAGTTGAAGTCGATCTTCTCATTCAACTCCCAACCAAAGCTTTTTGCATCCTACAAACCAAAATTACAACAATGAATACTACGTATATCAATATATGTATACAAAAGCTTGCAAGGCTATACAATTCCAATTTCCAAAGTAAGGCGTCATTGGCCACAAGATACTATGAACACTAACAAAAAGAATCTGCAAGATGTTAAATCATTTAAATCCAGAAAAAAATTAAGGGGTGAAAAAACCTTGAGGTGAAGAATATGCCACTAAATCTATGCACTACAGAATATCACAATATTCAGGGGGTCATATGTAGCCTTATATGTACTATCTCTTGCAAGTTGCAACCACAAAATAATTGATGGTGAATCTGATACATAAATATTTTAAATGCACAAAAAACCTAAATAAACATCTAGATATATTTTTAAAACCCCTTAAAAAACCACCATGTACTGTACATGTATCAGCAATTTCCAAAATTACAAACTAATCAGCGATACTGGTTGAGACAAACTCACCTCAAGTTCACCTCCAAAAGCACCTCCATACACCAATATTTTTTTGGGAACACAACCACGAATTACACATCTGAAGACAACAAAAGATACAAGAAATAAAACCCCTAATTAGATTCAGAAAGAAAATAATTGCAATAACAGCAATATTAACAATGGCAACAAGCCAAATTCAGCAAAAATCAAATGATCTAGTATCCATCTCAGTAATCTAGTTACTCTAACATAAGTATAAGGTCTATCAGAATAAATACTCTGTACAATGTAGCCCCAAACAGGCAAGGGTAATAATAGTAGTAGTAGTAGTAGTAGTAGTAGTAATAATATTTAAGGGGTCAAGCATTTGAAAACTCTAAATCATAATAGAAATAAGGCTTACTAAGATAATATGTCTCCTAATGAATATGCATAAGGTAAGAGACAAAGATACTCGGCAAGGCAAATTGAGACACAAATTTGCAATAAAAATGCAACTATGGAATTTTGGACAAAATTATACCCAAGTTCGTGACATATCATTCTTGTCGATAACAAGCTAGAACAAGAGAAAGTTGAAAAGGCTTTCATTGGAAAGAGCCTTACGGGCCTAGGGGCAACTCACTAAAGTTACCATCCTAACATTCATAGCCTTGCACTCAAAATCTCAAACTACGCCAAATTATACACCAAAGCGAACAGAGATTATCCAAGCAACAATCCATCAGTCCTTCCATTACAAAAAACAATTAAAATTATTTCAATTCGTAATGTGTAAACATATTTGCAAATAATTGCAATACTCAAGTAACCAGCTTCTATCAAATCCATCCTTTCACTAGTACTTACAAATATCATGATACGAACAAAAATGATAGTAATCAAACGAGCACTTCCAAATCGAAACACCAAAAGTATTACAATTTCAACAAACAAGATCACAGTTGCACCAAATCAAAAGCTAAACAAAAGCAACAATAATCTAAATCATATCAGATATCACATATTTGTAAATGAAATTACATTAAAAAGGTTACATAAAAACTTACGTTCCACCAACTCCTCCAATAACCTCCGAACTAATTGGATGAAATGGAAGCTCGCAAATTCCAACCTTAAAACATCAATCATTCAATAACTCAATAAAACAATCAATAAATCAACAAATACTCAATCATAATAACAATAATAAATAAAATAAAAAAATCAAAATCTAATTAATTCAATCCTTTACGAAAATCCATCTGACATAAAATTAACATGAGCAGTAATTTATAACCTTCACACCAAAATTACCAGAAAATCAATCACAAAAAAAATGAAAATCCAATAATAATTCAATCTGAAATGAAAATCAATCTGAAATGAAATTAATATGTAACCTTAGCACCGAAATTTGCAGAAAATCGAGCAGCACGAACACCTCCGCTTCCGGCACCGATAACGAACAAATCGAAATCGTAGTGAGCTTCGTCTTCGACATTAGTCTGGTTTTGTTCTCCGCCAATAAGCATTTTTCTGCCCGCCATTGTTGATTTCTTGACGAGTATGGAAAATGAAAAAGGGAAATGAAATTGAAGATTTTTTAGGAGGAGATCAAAGACCTACCCTATATGAGTTCGAAGTTTAGTCGCTTCAAAAAGTCATGGATATATAGACTTTGATGAACTTATGAAAGATATGGACACATGGCTGTATAAAAGTGTTAAGTGATGATAAATTCGATTTGTCTTGTGTGTATTTCACCTTCGAATGGTTGGATATATTCGTGTGATTCAATCCGTATGGAAATCATGGGATATGATCATCGTTAAGTGTGTTGTACTAGGTGTCAATTCAATCCGTAGAGACATTGGCATTGATGCATGAGATGTGGTTTAATTGTTAGAAGTGGAGAATGTTTTAAAGGAACACTCTAAATGGGGGAGGATTGTTGAATATTTAGAGTGTTGATGGTTTGCGCGATCGCGACCATAAAGGAGCACCCGCGCAAGGTTGGCGCGGCCGCGCAAAGAGCGCGCCTAAACCGCGTACCTCTCTAGAATTTGGCAATTTGGAGGGGTGAGGATGGCGCGCCCGCGCGTCCTGGTTGGCGCGCCCGCGCTGCTGGTCGCGCATAAACTGCGCCCCTCACTGCCTTTTTGCAAAATTATGCAGATTTTGTGAGGAGCGCCCGCGCCTCCCTGTTTTTGCGTTTTTTTCTGACGGTTGAGTCTTTATTAAAAGACATCAATTCGTGAAAGAAAAGGATAGAACAACATTCTTCTTCTCCCCAAGCAGAATTCTCCACACTTTTCTCTCAAATTTTTTGCAAACTTTTGTGAGGAAACTCTTTCAATTATTCCAATATTGGTGAATTTGTCATCTTGATTCGATTCTAGTACTAAGAACGAATGTTGTCAATTGTATCTCAAAGCGGATTTCCGGTTTAACCCAAGTACCGTGTGGGGGAAATAAACCTCTTTAGGAAAGTGTTCACACGCCTTTGACAGTGTATCAAGGATCTAGTCTTACAGGACATCGGGATTCTCATGTTCATGTTGGTTGTTCTCGGCTTGGAGGAAAGGCAAGCTTGATCAACTTCACACTAGTGCAGTCTATATAATTTTCTGTAATTTCTTAGACTTTGTTAATACTTGATTGAAATACATTGATTTGTATTTGATATTTACAATTACATTGTAAGCATTTATTTTTAGGTTTTATTCCAACACATTTTTAAGTGTTTTTCTTGTTAGAAATCACTGTAAAACCTAACAACCCAAAGTGACCCGAACTAAAATTACCTTATACCTGAAATGACCAGAATCTATTTAAGCTAACAATTTGACCTGAGCAAACCGAAATAGAAAATAACCGCAATCAAACTGACTTAATTTTTTTTCTATTAATTTGTAATGTGTAACAGTGTAAGTATTTTACATATTTTCAAATTCTTGGAATACAAAATCTTCTAGGCCACTTGAGTAAAAAAACGCTTCAATGGAAAATGAGATGAAGTGTGTAGAGATTAGAGAAGAGCAAAGACTAAAGAGAGAGATTGGACTCCTAATTAGCAATTTGCAGTAAATTTAATTTCAAATGAAGCATGTCATAACATATATCTGATCGAATCGGTTAAGAAAAGTTCACAGCGCGAGTAAGTGTACTTGGCATCCATCCACGCTACTACTCTTTAAGTCTTTATTAGAAAAATATAGTCTTGTCACTCTTGTGTCATTGTGTGTACTTGTTGAAATCGCCACCACAATAAATATTTTAAGAATATTCCATTAATAAAATCCTATAATGTAAATTACTAATAATTATAATAGGAAGTCTATTATTGATCAATTTCCTGCACTGGCATGCCTGCATACATGTATCAATGTATGTCCAGTTAAAATTAATGGAGTGCTTAAAAAACATAGATTATTATAAGAATAATACAAAGAAATTACTACAACAGTGAACAGTGACAATGATAAAAAGAGTATTAAAACTAAGGTCAATAAGAGAGTGAGGTATAACTCAATTAGTTAGAGCATCCCTCTTAGTTTCAGGAGATCCTAAAAGTGATTCTCAATCTAAACACAAAAAAAAAACAAGGTCAATAAAAGTCTAACAATTACTATATTCCATGAAAAGAGTAGCCTTAATAAATATATTGAGTTTCTCGTCAAAAAAAAAAAAATATATATATAGAGAGAGTTGAATTTAACCCAATGCATTGATCCGAATATGATCCGACTCGAAGTTGACTCGAAAATTGACCTGACCCGACCCGACCGAAGTGTTGACCCGTACCCGACCCAGCTATCAGTTGACCCAAAATGACCCGACCCGACTCGAAATGACCCGACCCATACCCGACCCGAATGACCCATTTGCCAGGTCTAATATAATCCAATACGACCCACGACCATCTTTAATTACTACTTTTCTAGTCAAATTCACCCGTGGTTTGTGAGTGAAATGGTTTTGAAAGGTTATTAAAACTACAACTAGGGCCAGTCTCCTTAATTCAACAGCCATCTGGGCAAGAGAACGAACCAGGAGAAAGAAAAAGTATCATTTGAAAAGGCTGCGAATTTTCTGAAGATAATCTTCTGCATTTGGCATTGGTGAGCTTTGTATATCTTTATTTATATGCTTAATTTCAAGCAACTACAAGTATAAGTTTTTCCGATGGCAAATTATTACTTATATTTTTGTAAAAAAAAAAAGGGAACTTTTGTTTTTTTTTTTTTTATATATGTTGTTCATGGGCTAATCAGATTGTTATCTAGTGTTCAATTACTGATTTGAATTCAATTCTATGAACCCAGTTCGATCATAAAGTGAAAGATGGAAGAAATTTGAGATATTTGCGGTTATAATTGGATTGAATTTTAGGTATAAGAAATTTGAATTGGGTGTATTTTATTAATGATCAGGTTAGAGTTTATAATTATCTTTTATAAATCATGTAATCGTGAGATTGCTGAGGAGTTTATATTCTGCAATGTGATCAAGAGAGTTTTAAGATTTGCCATTGTGATTGATTTTAAATTAATATTGTATATGTCTGGAAATAACCTTTTACATGCGAACTACGAAGTATGCTATTTTGAATTGTACGTATTCGATTGTTCGAGGTTGGTGTTAGTTTATGATTGGATTTCTTAATGTGCTGCTACATGGGTCAAGTGATGAGGAGAGCATAAGAATGAATTGGCTAATATAAAGGGCTTAGTATTGAAATTTCGTCAAAGTTTCAATTGTGGGGTTGGGATCGTGTGACAAATAATTACTGATGTAGGAACTAAATGGTTTGCCTTGGTGAAAAAGAGCTTGGTTATGCAAAAGTATGCGTGATTTTGCGAATTTAGTAGGAAATAAAGTTTCATAATTTTATATAGCTTTGAGAGTCTGAATATAGGTATAGATCTTCACATGAATTTGAAGTTAAACGCACGAGGTGTGAATGTGTGATAACTGGTTCGCAGTTGAGGTTTTCTCAATGCTTGGTAATGGTAGCTTTGTGCTTTATTAACTTTTATGCTAAGCTTATGTGTTAAGGAAAGGTGAGCAGGTGATGATGTCTGGTGGGTTCTTTTGTTTACTAGGTGGAAGTCTGCAGTGTTTATTCCAAAATGTTGTCTCCTTCCTTAGATGGAGTAGATGATATCAGACCTGTCAGGTAGTAGCGTAAATTGCTAGTCTGATGTCTTCAAGTGTGGGAAACTAAGTTAGAAATTTATGTTATAATAGTAGTGATTTTGCTGTCAAATTTTTTTTAGTTACCCTAAAACCTCAAGTAGTCCACTTGGCACTTTAATGTTGGACTTAAACCATGCAACGCTTTTCATAAGATAGCTGAATGACCTGAACTTACCACTGGAACAAGTATCCATGTATGACAAGATCAGTGAAGTCTAAGAAACATGGTATATTAGGTAATTTTGTCAAAAACTACCAATTAAAGCACGTGTTTTGGAAACAACTACCTATTAATTTTTTTTTTTTTCAAACAACTACCACAAAGTTGTGAAAAGTTTAACTAGCACTACCACTACCACTCTAACAATTCCGGCTAGAATCTTTGGCATGTGGGTTCCACTTTATTAGAGTGGTAGTGTTAGTTAAACTTTTTACAACTTTATAGGCATGTGGGAAAGGTAAAAAGTGGGTCCCACATGCCGGAGATTCTAGCCGGAATTGCTAAAGTGGTAGTGCTAGTTAAGCTTTTTACAACTTTGTGGTAGTTGTTTGAATTTTATTTTTTAATAGGTAGTTGTTTCCAAAACATGTGCTTTAATTGGTAGTTCTTGACAAAATTTCTGGCATATTACTATGACGTACTTAGCCATCTATATGTCGAAGTATATTCATTCGTATTATATAATGCATAGTATATTTTCGCTGATCACTCTAGGCCAGTCATTTGATGATTGAAAAAAGTTGTGAATAGATGGTTAGGTAACTTTTAAAGTTGCATCTTATGGAAGCTGTGTTGTCAAGGTAGAATTAGGTGATGACATTTTCATAGTATAGAGCATTTGGGGTACAGCACATTTTAAAAAGTACTGGAATATCTAAACAGAGTAGGTCAATTGGCTGAAAGGCCCTTCTTAAACATTGCATTATGTGAAGGTAATTGAGGTGATAACAGAGAAAAGCGGAAGGTAAAAGTTGAAATTTTTACATCAAATACTTCATTGTTTTACTAAAATAGCTTATGATACGGAAAAATTATAAGATTTTTTTTAAGTAATCAATGTGTAATATTTTTTCTAAGCTCATTCTATGAAATGAGTAAGATTTTAGTTGTGGCATCTTATGCTGTTTCATCAAGCTACATTTTGTTCATTCTATTTGATATGTCAAATTTGTAGTTAAATATTTTCTGCCATCTTTGAATGATGGAACCGGATTATCAAAATCACTTTAAAGATCCAGAATCCTCTGCTATGCTCAATAGTAGAGGTGTGACTGCTGACTCCAGAAACCAATGGAAGCAATTGGGGGAAGAGGAGAGAAAGATGGCAGTTCAGGAAGAGATGAAGAGGGTGCATCAATTGCCTGCTAATAGTAGCTATGCCATTCACCGTCGCCGTGTTCTCAGTAAAATATTCCAGCTCATGACTATTCAGGTAGGTGTAGTTTATTAATTTTTTTTTGTCTTTGGTATTGATGTTTACTTTTACCTCATACGAAATACATTATTACATCTATGTCCCATTCTAATAACCCTGTTAAATGTGTGTATCATGTTTTAATTGGCTTTTGCTTATCTTTTGAGCTATATTCATTGGCAAATCTGTATCTTTTTTTTAGCAAGTTGCCGACCCCAAATCTTTTTGGAACTAAGGCTTTGTTGTTGTTGTTGTACTTTGCTTGCAAGATGTTACTTCCATGCTTAATCATTATGCTGAGCAGACATGATTTCCTGTGCAAATCATCATGTTCTTGAGTTTTTTATTAGCTATGGACCTAGTGTCCGTAAAGGGCTGAAATTCAAAGAAATCCCAAAAAGAGGTGTCATCTGATGGAGATTAGAGGCCGAAGGTGTGACTATATGTAAATTTTTTTTTCTTAAAAAAAAAAACAAAAAAAAAAATTATATATATATTAAGGTTATGAGGATTAACCTTTAACCTTGCAAGGTTTCAGGGAAGTTTTTTTAGTTGGAACCCTCCACTGCAACCCATGACTGTAGAGGTTTGTTTTTATGTAACTGTAACCCACCTTTTTTGAAGAGCAATGATGTTGTTTGGCCCTTGGACTGCCTTTTCTCAATTAGTTTTTATGGTGGGCTTGGTCATTTATCTTATGTTGTTATCACATAAGCTATAATCCCTTGTCACAAACAGAGTTAAGGTAAATAACTAGCTTGTGGTTCCAATCTACTACTTTCTCTGTTTCACTAGAATTGCAACTTTTGATTGTGGCACATATATTTAAGTAAGTGGAGACGGAATGCAAAAAGTAAAAAGTGAGAAATGTATATGAAAGAAGATAGAGAGAAGGGAAGAGAGAAATAGTGGGCCAAGCAATTATAAAGTAGGCATATATATAAAGTCGTAAAAGTTATGAAAAAAGAAAAGGTTGCAATTATTCTAAAGCATTCAAAATGGGCAAGTATTGCAATTTTAGTGAAACGGAGGATGTATGTAATTAGGTTGAGATGAATACAATGATTATTTTCTCTTAGCTTTGCTTCTGTCTACCTTTTATGATTGTCATGTGCTAAAATGAAACTTATTGTGATGGGTTCTTGAAGTTTGGAGCTATGTACTGGAACTCTGCGAAATTTGAAATTTGAAAAATGTTATTTAATTGCAAAGTTGTTGGCAGATGTGAGAGTTTTGCTTTGGCTTAGTCTAATATGGTGGTTGGAAACCTACTCCTAGCTTTTGATACAAACTTAAACTCTAGAATTAGCTGATTATGTCATTATGTTGTATAAAATGTATGGGGATGGTTGTTCCTCAGCATTTTATTTTATCACAATTAGGAAGCTTTAAGAAAAATGCTTATTTTCCCCTCAAAAAAAAAAAATGGTTATTTTTTGGACAAGCAAGCTACTAGTGCAAAAATTTACAGAAGCACTTGATGATCGTGAAATAAAGGGTGAAATACTTGAAAAAGGGTGCTGGAGGGGGGTTGAGTTGTCATGCAGAGTCAATAGCAGTCGTATTCACTGTATTTCTAATGCTTAGCTATTGTTGCTTAATCTGTGAATGAGGATTTCTTTCTTGTTGGAGGCACATGTAGTTATCATTTATTATGAACCATGAAGATAGCATTACAATATAATCTTATCTTTAATCTAAGATCATTTGGGATTATGAAGTGGTCATAGCTTGGTGTGTGATTGCTGTATATATATATGTACATTATTTTAAACCTTCTTTAGACTTTTAGTCCCAGTGACTTGGGCTTGTGAAAGAAGTTGGAAGATTCTGATTTCTAACTGATTAATTGTTGATTGGTTTTTCTTAGAGATCTGCATCTGAGGATGAGGAGTTGGAGTTGCTTTTTGCTGGGCTGTCCATTTAAGCAGAAGGTAATGGCTGTGTGAAGTTCTTGTTACTTGTTTAAATGTCGATGCATTATTTTTTTCCCAATATTGGTTGATTTGATTCTGAAGTAACCAATTTTGTCAGGCCGTCAGGGCAGAGCGGGTACTTCTAGCTGTGTTTGCTCTCTAGGCAGGACTAGACCCACCTAGTTGCACTTAGAATAATAACATTGTTGCTAATGCTATTCTGATTTGATTGGTTTCTCGCTTGAATGGTTGGAATCTGTTGGACCTTCCTGTCACGATGAATGTTATGAAACCACTTCAATTTTAGTTGTTAATCATTGCAATCATCTTGCATCGTTCAAAGAAACAATCATGTTGATAGGACTGATGCTGAAATGACAGAAATCTATTGGGTCTTTCAGAATTTCAATTTCTTGTTTCCGTTGCTAGTTTTCATCTTGATTTCAGTATAGATAAATCGAATTCACAGCCAAGAACATTCTTTTTTATGAACCCATATACTAAATACTAATATTCCTCCTTGTCAGGCTGAATCACTACAGGGTGCATCTGCAATTTTACTGTCACAGCATGCCTGCAGAGACATGAATGCTACAGAATGGAACCTCTATGTTCTTGACACTGTCCTTTGGAAGCTGCAACTTGTTATGATAAAATGTAAGGGAGTTCTAACGCACACCAGTTTTGATTTCCTAATCACAACTGCAAATATCACCGACAGTAGTTAATGTGTATAAAAAGTAGTGCTTTTCATGTGCTGATAGTTAAGCTCTAAGTTTCATAAATCATAGTAATAATAGTATATTAGTATGTGTTTGTTGTAGGTTCTATGATGGTCATTGTTCTTTCTTTGCAATTGATTTTATCTATGCCTTTCTGTATTCTTGGGTTTTTATTACATAAATTGTAGTGTACCCAAGAGTGTTCAAGAATAATAAAAATGTTAAACCGCAAGTTTAGCAAAAAATGCTTTGTAGGGAAAACTTGGGTTAATGAAATTCAAGCTCTCTACCCATTGTTGCCACATATTTTTGCATGCCTTTATAGATATTGTGGCGCCATATGTTTAAAACACATTGAGCTAATAAATTCAAACCGCTTATGCTTGCCTTGACTTACTTGGCTGTCACAAACCCTGATTGACTATCGACTCCACGTCTCCACTCTCGGTGCCAATAGGAGTAGGCAAGAGTGCCAACAACCCATTTCTTGCTTGTGCTGCTACATGCTCACAATCTCTAGCTAGCGTCCTTGTTGCTGATCTTCAATAGTAAGTGCTATAACGAATAAAAAGAACTCAAATCACGTACATGCTTTTTTTTTTTTTGGGAACAAAAATCACGTACATATTTAATGCTGTATGTTTGCTAAAAGATGTTTTCTTGGCTCTTATTAAAAGAATAAAATACCATACACTGGGAAATACATCTTGCATAAAATTTCTATCCGAGAGTCATCTGTTAAAATTACTTTTTTAACACAAAAACGAAGCACGTGTACTTTGTAATTTCATATTAATTATGGGTAATTAGTACCCTTGAAGAGGTTCACAAAATCACTATACATACAACATACACTTACAAAAAACATTAGAACGAAAGTACACATAAAATTATGCTTGCAACAAGGTAAGTGTAATTTTGAACTAGGAGCCAAACTCAAGTTTGGCTGGATTTTGCAGATCCAAATTGTAATCCTTTGCTACACATTTAGGAGATTTGTAGTGGTAGTGATGTAGTAGCAATTATCCTACTTGGAAATAACCATTTGGAAATTATGACAAAATCACGAGTCGATGGGTGTTGTTAATCTTTATAGTTCATGGTCTTTCATTTTTTATATTCTTGTCCTTGTAGCCTATTTGAAAATATGATCAATAATTATCTCTTAGGATCATGTACAAAATCAGTGGACCATTTTTCAGCATCATGAACTTTCTACTTTGATATTGGCTTTGGCTGTTGCACAATTGCTGAAGAAGAATGGTAATTTTATTATCAGGCATATTCGAGCTCGAAAAAGAAACTTGGTTGCACAATTGCTGAAGGAGAATGGTGTATTATCAGGCATATTCGAGCTCGAAAAAGAAACTTGGTTGCACAACAACTAGCAGCGCGCTTATGGCCTCGCCATGGCAATGCAAAACAAGCTTATGATGAAGACATTGGAGCCACTGCTTCTGCGCGTAAGGCAGAGTACTTGGCTTCTATTACATGCATGCTCTGCATTTTCATTTAATTCAAGATTGCAACATGATAACACATTTTTTTTTTCTTTTTTTTTGACAATAGCATGATAACACATTCAAAGCATTAAAAAAAAAAAAAGGGTAACTTGGTGATTATTTGATTGGTTTGAAATTTGTGCACCAATCTGTATAGGTTTTACTCACCTGTTTTTAAATACTTTCATCAATTACCTGTTATGTTGATTTTTGGTACTTTTAACACTTTCTATGTACTATGACATTAGATTACTGTCAGTGTTAAAAAAAAAGATATTAGATTACTGTTAATAACTTATTTTATTGTATCAAGGCCTTCATTAGTAAACCAGCATTTAACTTAAGTGATTTTTGTGAAAATGGAATATTCTACGAAACAATAATTTAAAATTAATTTAGATGCGTTCAGATAAAATAAATGTTATACAAATTCAGATAGAATTTCCTTTCCTTCACTAAGATTTTAATAAAAAATATGCATAAATCGTTTACATTTTTAAAAAGCAAAACCTATCAATTAATTTTTCATAACCATTTGGCAAAAAGGGTTTATCATATTTTTAAATACCCATTTGACTATTTAGCCCTTTTACAAAGGGGAAGGTAGTAAGGACTTTTTAGTTTGCAGCACCATTAAAAATGAATTAATAATAATGGACTTGATCACAAGCCTTTGTGCACTAATAACGAGGGAAAACATATAAAGACAAGGACATTAAATCCCTCAAAACAACTACTCCTTTTGAAATAGTTTATAATAACATTAGAGATCATAAGATTAGTTTATTGTTAATTAATAGAAATTTGACAATAATTTAAAATAACTAATGTGGAAGGAAATGGGTTGAATATTGTATCCACTCTACAATCACCACTTTGCACTTTGAGCATTGCATCATGTGAAGAAGACAGTATAATTATGATTCGTAATATTTTACTCCGTAAGTTGTGCGTTATCATGTTAATGCATCCATTGATTCAAGAGGCTAATAAAAAATTATAGATGAGGAAAGAACATTGAAGATTCTAACAAACATTTTCTGTAAATTCCTACCTTGGTGTGCACAATAATTAAGGAATCATCAATGGAAAATATTATTTCAAGATAACATTTTTGTTATCACTCGTGCTTCTTAACACCAATACACCAATAGTAACAAAATAACGAAATGTTGTACTTCAATCAGTATAATAATTCAATAGGTTTATATCATAGTAATTTAATTATAGAATATTAAGAGCACAGTGTTATTTTTTTTGTACATTTGTACGTAGTATATGAATATACCTAAAAAAAAAAATTCTTTTTAACAATAACATACTCGGAAATACATAATATATAGTTTATAGTGATTAAATAACTTTTATAAGTAGACTTTAATACGTTATCTTTACACGAACTGATTATACTTTATTAGACCTAATAAGCCATACTCGCCCATGATTATACTTTAAATTTATTTTGTAAGTTACAAAACACACCAAATTGACCAGTACAAGAGTAACACGACCTACAATTGAATTGCACTCCGTAGTTGCTTCTCAAAAAAACAAAAAAGAAAAAAAATAAAGAATTGTACTTGAAATCACATGAACCTAAAATCCTAGATACATCACAAAATGATTAGCTTCATTACTCAATCATGATAACTTGATTACTTAAATGATATACTCAAATGTTATTCGATCCTAAACCGAAAGTTTCATAGATCCGACAACGAACCTACCTTTACTTCGGAGTATTTTGTACTAAAATTTGACCCGATTTTTACCATACCATACCATACCTTTTTTTAACTACGACTTTACCATATCTCTTGTATGTGGCTGACCACACCATGTGATCGGGGTTAGAGTTATAGGGGTTACTTGTCAGTGTTATAGTGTTTACTTTTTTTTTAGTTTTATTAGGGTTACCTTGTCAATATTACAGGAATTACTCCGTTAGTGTTATACGGGATTACTCTATTATTTTACAAGCTGTCATACGATTTGGCAAGCCGTACAGATTACGCGTTATACCATAGTACCATATAATTATTCAAAAAAAAAAAACCAAAAAAAAAAAAAAAAGTTACATTAGCATCAAGCCATCAACAAAACAAGATCCAACAAATTAGTAAAAAAAAATAATTAATCCCCCTTTGTAATAAGCAATAATGCAAATAATTTCAACAAATTAATCTCTTAACCCATACTCTTCTCTTAGTTAATAGATCCCTTTTTCCCGCTTCACTTTCGCTAAACCATACTCTCACGTTGTGAACTGTTAAACATCGCCCGCAAATTCCTACATAAAGCCCACAAAATAAGAGTGAAATGACACTTTTGCCCTCATACTAAAAAAACACACAATTTCTCTCTCTACTCTCTACTTCCACTTTCTCTCTCTAAATTATTTCCAGAGCTATGTCTAGGCGGCCCGGCAAGGAAGTGGCGGCACCGGCGGTGGGCGGAAGGCGGTTTGCCGGCCAGAAGGTAATTTTTCTAATTTTTGTAATTTTTTTTTAAAAAAAAAACCTCCGGCGACGGTGTGGCGCCAAGGCGAGACGCCACCACCACGGAGGAGGCGCCTAGGCAAGGCGCCCGTACGGTGGTGGCGGCGCCTAGCCCAGACGCCAATACCACGGCGGCGGCGCAGAGGCTAGGCGCCACGGCCGTGGTAGTGGCGTCTGGGCTAGGCGCCGACACCACCGCAAGGGCGCCTTGCCTAGGCGCCTCGTTCTTTTTTATTTTTTTAAATTTTTTTTTTGTTTTTTTTTAATTTTAAATTTTATTTTCGTTTTTTTTTTTTTTTTTAAAAAAAATTTGTTTTTCTTTATTTTAAATTGTATGTTCCCTTTTTTTTTTTATCTTTTTTTTTTAAATTTTGTTTTTTTTATTTGTTTTAATTTTATATTTTTTATGTTTATAATTTTATTTCCGTGACATGTTTATTTGCTTTTGTGTTTATTTTCGACTTTTTTTAATTTGTTTTCGTTATTATGTTTCGTTATTTACTTGGAGTTAGGCATCGCAATTTAGACCTGGTGCGGGGAAGAGTATTGACGTCGTGAGGAGTACGATATACTCAATGGAGAGCTCGGGGCCCAGACACGTTAGATCCCGTGGTATTTCGGCCTCGGCCCGCAGAGAACGGGTGCACTGTTCTGCGGACGATCAAGATGATGATGATGATGAGAGGAGGAGGAGGAGGAGGTCGAGGAGGAGGAGGTCGAGGACGAGGATGATGCAGATGAGGATGTCGACGATCAGAGTGGACCATATGATGATTACGGTCCATTCAGTCAGAGACTTGATGATACGTATGAGACGCATAGGGTAGATGTGCGTAAGGGTCGAGATGGTAGGTTTGTTAGTAGATCTGGCACATCATCTGCGTCCACTGTGTCTGCGGGTAGCAGAAAACGGTCGAGGGCCGTTAATGATTCTTGGATGGTGAGGGGTGAGGTGGCCGGGGGACCTATAGACGGGAGTGTGATTCCTAGCTTTTTAGGACACATCGCTACCCGTATTTGGGAGGACCAGGAGAGGGCTTTGGATACAGGCATTTTGAAATGCCAAACCCGGGAAAAGACTTGTAGGTTTTTGTGTAGCTGGGCTGATGCTTGGCCGGAGGAGAGCGAGATGGTCGGGCGATTGAGGGCCACTAGAGTGAGTCACCTTCCTGCCACCATGCACGACAGGATTGACTGGACGCTGATCACGGCTTTCGTTGAGCGATGGCAGCCGGATACGAACTCGTTCCACCTTCCGTTCGGTGAGATGACGATCATGTTGCATGACGTCGAGGCCATCCTTGGGATTCCCGTGGAGGGAAACCGAGCATCTGTCGTCACTGATGCGGATCAGGCAGATTTACTAGCGGAGCTGTTGGCGGTGGATAGGGCTGCGCTGTACACATCGGCACTTGGTGTGTGGGATCACGGCGGCGTTAAGATCGCAGCCGTCTTGCAGCGATGTTTGCACCCTACGGCACGTAGGACGCAGGACACACAGCTGGCTGCATATGTTTTTCTTCTTCTCGGTGTACCTTGTTTCCGGATAAGAGCGGAACAAGCTCAGGCCACGCGACATAGTTGACGCGTGTGAGCCCGACAGAGTAGGCCAGTTTTCTTGGGGGTCGGCTACGCTGGCGTATCTGTATCGCCAGTTAGGATTCTCGAGCCGGGCTGATGCAGCAGGTATCACTGGATGTCTGACGTTGTTACAGACCTGGATATACGAGTATTTTCCTGCGTTTCGACCACACCGCGACCCGGTTCCCATTGGTGATGGCCAGCCACGTGCCTGTGCGTGGAGTCCGCGTGTCGAGAAGAAGTCCGTTGACCGCCTGCGCTCCATACGGTTATCGCTTGACAGGATGTCCCCCTTAGAGGTACAGTGATTAAATTATTTCTACTTTTACAATCTGATGCTTTATTTTATGACTGTTACTGATTTTAAATAATGTGCAGGTGAACTGGATGCCTTTCGGCCAGAACCCTAGTAATAGGGTACCTAGGACCCTCTACACTGGACTGATTCAGTATCGCGAGATCGTAGAGGCGTACATGCCGCAGCGCTGTCTTCGCCAGCTTGGATTTGTCCAAGTTGTCCCACCTCCACCGGCATGGCCCAGTAAGGCGGTACGATCTGCGTCGTCGAAGGAGTACGTCGTCCAATGGCCGTCAAACATGATATCCATGTGGGAGCAGTTTCCGATGGTTGCCCGCCTATGGACGGCGGAGCTGCAGCGGCCGCCAAGTGGGGTGACTGCCATGTGTGACCAGCACTACATGGAATGGTACATCCGGCACTCGCACCCGAGGTTGATCAAAGACATCGACGACGCAGATGATGACGATGTGCCACTTGCCACTGCCTCTTATGCGGTACGTCTCATCTTTTATTTGTTGTTCTCTTATTTTAATATATATATGTATAATACGTCGTTTCATGTTTTTTGTTTTGTGTAGTGGATGGGCAAGATTATGCAGTTGGGACACCGACTTTTTGAGGAAAGGGACTGCATGACGAGTGCATCAGGCAGAGCTGTTATTGACGATCTGGAACGGACCCTTGAGCAGTGGCAGTGGGCGTCACAGAGGGATTACTGATATTTGAAATTAGACATTATATTTTTAGTTTGTAATATTTGAAATTATTGTTCTTAGTTTTTAAAATTCAATATTATCTTTTTAGTTTGTAATATTTGAAATTATTGTTGTTAGTTTTTAAAATGAAACATTATCTTTTAAAAATGAACACATAGAAATGACATAGTATTGACAATACAAGGCCTCATAGTAAAAGGTAGGTGTACATCAACAAAAACTACATGGCAATTAAATTGTTCCACTGTTCCACGCGAGCATGGTACAAAGCATCCCAACCTCTCCATACCCTCCATGCTTGCTCTACGAATTTCATTACCACTTCGGTATGATATTTGGGACCGGAAAATCGGGTGACAATGTTTGAAGTCTCCTAGTCAGAGACCTATCCAAGTCCTCGCCGTACACATGGCCATACACATCTCGGTTTGATGCGATTTCACTGTACATCAACTGCCGCACTAAACCGTAGTTGTCTTCACCCATTTGAAACACATCCGCCACAACCCGAAATCCGCAGTTACCATCTGCAATGACATCATTCCACCCGTCCAAGAATGGCATCATGATATTAGGGATCCTGTCCTTATATGGAAAATGTTCAATGTCCATTCTCCCTGTTACACACATCAATAAACACAATAAACAAGTCAACAGTAAACTAATCAAACAGTCAACAAAAGAAATTGAAGTCGAATGTCTTACCGGTGCCGGGCATATTCACCGACGACGATGATTGGCTGCCACTTGATGAGGATGTACGACCACGGCCACGGCCACGGCCACGACCGCGAATGTACTCAAACGCACTCTTGTTCCGCCGTGGTTGTCGACCCCTAGGTCGCTCGACCCCTTCCGGTTCCTCGGTATCCAAACACGTCAGTTGATGTCGTTCCTCTGAGTATCAATAGCCTTGTTTATTCTCTCGAACAGTGTATCCAGAGCAGCCGTGGAAGAATCAATCCAGTCCTTCAAAGCTCTAGGAGCGCTCTCGACTCTGCATGTCGTAGTGTTCCCAAAATGAAGAACTTGGTTCGTCCAATATTTGACAAACTTTTCCCTCTGAGGTACCCACTGATGCATCACATAGTCTACGATTGGCGGGCACCACTTGTACGCATCCTTGAAGTTTTCCAAGGCTCGATCGTACTCTGCCTCTGTGGTAGCTTGCATGATCTTCCGCCACTTACCATTTACCAATGTCTCTGCTGTTACTAAATTCTTGTTGAAAAGATTGTAGGCTTTGACTTTCACGCAGTTGTTGATGTGCCATGTGCACAGTAAATGGCTCGACTCCGGAAACAGCTCCGCTATAGGGGCAAAAAGACCTCCCTCACAATCACTTACGATGGCCGATGGCTGTACATTTGGGCCGATGTAGTTTCTCAACTTTTCCAACACCCAACGGTAACTCGCAGCCGTCTCATCCTTCATGACTGCATAACCAATCAGAAAGTTCTGGTTCGTTGGAGCCATCCCAACCATCTCAACCAGTGGGAACTTGTACTTGTTTGTCTTGTACGTTGAATCGATCAAAATCACAGATGGCCAAGACGAAATCATATCAGCACAATCAGGATGGACAAGGAACAAATGAGTTACCTCCGATGTGTCTTCGTCAGATTCAAACCAGTAAAGGTAACCACGTGCTTGTGCCTGGTGCAGAAGCTGCTGTATAGGGTTCCTTCCCTCTGACCGTTCAAACCTCAATTTCTGTTTGACGTTGTAGATGTGTCTTCGGTTTGGCTGGTCTTCGGGGAATTTCTCTAACACAGACGCTAATATTTTAGCGGGCTTCACTTGAGCATCACTCATTTCTTTTACAACTAGTTTCGCAGCTGGACTTAGGCCGCTTAACTGCCGATGCCCCACTTTGTATGCTATCAGCTCATGGTTGTGATATCCCCATTTGCCGTAACCCTTCACTTCCCAACCGTCACGCCTTTGATGTTGTCGAACCTTAACTCGGAACTGACACCCACAACCTTTCCGCTTTGAGTCAAACCGAATCGCTTTACTGAAATCTCGTTCTTCTCTTTTGCGATAACGGTCGCATCTCAAAATGCGATCCATTCTACCATCCCGTTGAGATTTATGAGTTGCTACTACTAAACAAAAGCCTGATCTAATTGCAACCTGTTTTGCCCAATCAATCGCTTGTTGAGCATCTTCGAACAGGCCATCATGTACAAAAATCCCACTGTAATCATTTCCGTCTCCACCATAATCCTGTAACAATAACATATAACGTATAAATATAATTACATTAAGATTAAATTAACAAAAACAAACAAAAAAAAAAAAGGGGATTAAATTAAAAAATAAAAAAAAAAAATATTCCCCTACTGGCGCCTGGCCAGGACGCCGGAGCCACGGCCGGGGCGCCTGGTCAGGACGCCGCCGCCATGGTGGCGGCGTGCTGGCCAGGCGCCTTGGCCGTGGCTGCGGCGTCCTGGCCACGCGCCACTACTATGGTCGAGGCTTCTCCACCAGGCGCCGTGACCACGGTGGCGGCGTCCTGGCTAGGCGCCACAACCACGGCATGGCCTTTTGGCTAGGCGCCAGCCACCATTTCGTCCTTACGATGCGTTACGAACCTCGTTTTCCGATGACGACGGCGATTCTCCGGTGATCCTCGGCGATCCGGTGCTGCTCCACATTTTTTTAGTGCGAAAAATTTATCTTCCGTTAAAATTATAAAAAGGGCAAATTTGTCAAAAAATTATAAAATGTGGGCTTTATGTAGAGATTTGCGGGCGATGAATAACAAGTCCCTTGAAATTAGCCTTGTTGTCTCTCTCAAGGAATCACCAAGTGCAGAAGATGTTATATTTAATTCAATACATGTCTTTTGATTGGTGCAGGAGATAATAACTAATTTCCTTGATAAACCTTCTATACATATCACAGTAAGTGTAGGAGAGAGGGGATCATCTTGTCTAAACCTCCTAATAGAGGGGAATACGTAACGTAGTCATATTAATAAAATTACGGAGAGAGGGGATCACCTTATTGTCTAAACCTCTTAATAGAGGGGAATACGAAAAGTAGTCATATTAATAAAACTACGTAACTAGATAATATGTAATTGTAGTAATACAAGTATTAATCCAAAACATCAAAAGTTTCAACAGTTTTCTAAAGGAAATCTCATTCTAATATATTTAATCAATGAGTTGCTTGTAATTGTAGTTGTGAAATAGGAAAAGGTGTAAACAACTTAATACCTAAGATCGATTATGATGAGGAAACCATACCTATAAATAAGATTTATTTCCTTTTATTATTGAGAAGTAAAATACAGATTGTATAAATTTAAATTTTTATAATGTGAGAATATTATAAAGCTTCCCCTCGGATCCATCTCTTAAACATGAAGGCACATTGCTTTGGCTTGTACTCGGGAGCAGTATGTCCAGCTCCCTATACAAAAGAGAGAAATATTTGCTATATAAATTCATTTTCATTGCATTCAATTATGTAATACTCCGTAATCAATGAAAGTTAGTTACATCAACTAACCTTAACGGTGGCAAATGTCATTCTATTAGCATATGTCCTTGTAAAGCTACATAAAAAGGGCGAATTAATGTATGACAATGCATAAAAATTATATTTATCACGAAATATGTACAAAATAACATATTTTTGAGCGAAAAAAATAATCAAATAACGAAAGAGATTAGTATCAAGAAAGGCATAAATCCCTAAAAGGAATTCTCAATTTATCTAGTCCTTCATATTTTTCTAAGTTTGAATTCTTTTATAATAGAAAGTAGGTCATAGAAAATGAAGTTTGAAAGTGACAAACATAAAGTTTTCTTTGTTATGTACTCCGTACTATGAATGAAGAATTGGTAATTATTAAGAAATGGCATGTACTAAACAACATTATTTAACAAAAGTATTTAAATAAAAGCTTGCATCTTAATTATATGTGGAATTATTTCATCTATATATTTACTTAAGCATGGAATCTTTCAAGATATTTAGGAATTATTTATACATTAAACTTGTAATTAAATGTGCATATTTCTTTATAGTAAGATTCTAAATGTATTTAACAAAGAATTTGTATGAAACTCTTTATTTGATTAAAATAAAATTCTTAATGTTAAGATGGTCGAATAACTAGAAACATATTAGCTAAACTCTTTATTTTATACCAATCATTTGTGGTGGAAGGAATACATACCTTTTGGTTTTCTTATTTTCATAAAATAATACTTCCTCCGTTTCTATTTAGTTGACACGTTTAATTTTGGCACATATATTAAGGAGAGGAGAGATAATGATAAAGTAAGTGGGGTACACTAAAAAAACAAGGTACAAATCTTAGTCAACTAAAAATTAACTTCCTAAAAAAAATACGTGTCAACTAAAAAAACGGAGGTAAGTAAATCATTAGGTAATTTACTCAAACTAATGTGTTAATTATTCTGAAAAGCAAAAGGTATACTTTATAAACAAAATCTTCAATTCTAAATTATAACATGCATCTCATGGATATAAGTTGCACTTGTACTACCTCCTTATTTGAATCAAATGGTAAGCCAATTGACAAATAGTTTTTGATATATAACTTGGATATTTTTATAACAGTCGTTTGAAATATGACTATCTTATTATTTCAATGATAAGTAATATGACCTGTTCATTTTTTACATTGTAATATGGACACAATTAGTCTTCTAATATCTAATATGCAAATATAATTTTTTAAAATTTTAATCTAACATAAAATATTTTTTTTTTCAAGAAACTATAAAATAATAATAAAAATTACATAAATGCAACTAAAATTTTGATAAATAAAAAAAATGTTGATAATACAATATTATACCAAAAATAATTAGTAATATAAATTATTACTTAGAGAAATATATGTCAATTATGATGTACATAATCATTAAAATATTATGATAGTCATAATTCAAACGACTACTACAAAATTTTCAAACTTTTGCACTACAAAAGATTAAGGTGAAAAAAAGGAAAAGAGAGAGAGAGAATGATGAAAACTTGCAACAACTTACCCGGCTATTTGGCTATCAACTAGCCATTTTCTCCAATCGTCAATAATTGAGTAATTCAAAGATCTTATCCATGCTTGCGTTCCCAGGAATGGGACAATCATGTCATGGTCTCCACTAAGTAATAAAATTAAGAAAATTATTACATAATAAAGGTATTTAAGCATAATATTAGGAGACCACAAATTTAAATAGTATGCAAACCTGTATATTAGTGATCGAAAGCCTTTGGCACTTATTTTCACGTGGTATGGCACACTACTTGGAACCTCATAAGAATAGTTGAATTTATAATTACATCTTATCCAATTTCCAATAGTTTCCTATAATAATTTAGTAAAATAGTTAGGACTTTATTTTTTTTGGTGTAACATGAAGATTGTATTATATGCTCATCTCATATACCTTACGAACATGAAGAGCCTTTTGAACACTCTTCTGATTCATCCAGTGTTTAGCAACTAAATATCCTTCTTTCTAAAATAAAAGGAGGTAAAACCGTGTTAGCTATCTATTATTTACAAAATCAATATTTAAAATAAGTTTAATACTAAACCCCTTATTGGGGTGGAGTAGTCGATTGTAAGTTTGTAACAAAATGCATATTTAGGATTAGTACTTGTATCCATCCACAAACAAACACAAGTTCTTCTAACGCAATTTGTCCTTTCTCACATACACCCTAGATAACTTTCATACTATCATCCATCTTTAGTAGAAGACCACCAACTAAACATGCTTAAATATGGAATATCTTGTTACGGTGTATAATATAAGCTCCTTAAAAAGAAAGGTGTAATTTGTTCAATTCAGTTGTTGGTATGAATAGTATATCAAATC